AAGACTTCAGTTTCGAGATCTTATTTGTGCAGTCTTAATCTCGAAAGCATGTAATCTATTCTTTATTCAACAGAGAATTTATTGTAATGCAAACACTCTAGATAACGACCTTAAGTCCCAAGGATTGCTAAAATCTGTCAAGAAAGTGAAGTATCTTTTGATAGAGGAAAAGTCMGATAGAYCTAATTGGCTACCACGTTTTCAACCCAATTCAAAGCACTTGGGAGTAAGTTTCATTGTTCATTGTAGTTTTGTTTCASACTTGAATTCTTAACAACAAAAGTAATTTTTCCCACAGGATTTGAATTGGGAGGTAACATACGTAGCAACGCGTTAGCTGATTATAAGATCTATAGATACTCTATCTTAGAGTTCAAAGTACCATCTTCAAAAGTAGCGAAGCCTTTGCATCAAACCCTCAGAGAAGTTAAGCCCATTTGTTCATATCTAAGACAATTATTCACAGGTATCTATTACTGCAAGCTCAACTAGTGCTGTCTCCCTTTGATGMAAAATCTCAGACTTTACCTTTCAAGATAGACAGGAAGTGTAAAATAATATTATACATTATCTCCTTCCCACTAAAACTACATATTCTGTGCTGYTAGTAGAACTTTACACCAGTAAAGTTCCCAAAAAAATAGATAAGGCAGGCATTGGCTTCACCTGTGTCATCAATTCATTATTTCTTTATATATATTTTTCTATCATTTTTCTYGCAACATGCCTTTAAGCATCAGACCATTGCCGACTGTCARTCATGTAACCATGGTTACTGGTATTTAAAATATGTACATTGGAAGGTCATAATATTTGYTGTTGACTGTAGACCATTTGYGGTTGRTGAGCAGCTGAGTARCCTGGTAAGGAGTTGACTGGGAGAGACTGGGCTTGATATTGTTGCATTGCTAGCTGGGATGCATAATCCTGACCTTGGGGTACCCCTTGAGGAGCATAMATTTGTGGTGAAGACATATACTGTGGGGGTTGGGGAGGAGCTTGTGTTGGTTGTGCCTGAGAGGGGTACCCTTGGGGCATGCTGGTGACAGCACTTTGATAACTTGGTAGTCCTGGTCCTTGGCTTGAATACCCAGAGTTCTATACCATGAATTATGATTGATCAGTTAACTTATATATCATGGTACAAGACTGATGTTTTATTCATCAGTGATATAAACAGATCTTTTATTCATCGGTATTGTATCAGAATTTATACCATTAATTATATGATTGATTACTTTACTTATATCATGGTACAAGACTGATGTTTTATTCATCAGTGTTGTAAAACAGATCTTTTATTCGTCAGTTTTGTATAAGAATTTAAGTAAAGTTAA